GTGTAAAAATGAATTAGAATCAACACAGGATGTCATATAAGATTATAAATTTTGAAATATAAACAATTTATAGAATTGAGTTCAATACTGATAATTACTCTTAGAAAAAGTCTCCAATGGTAATTTTAATAGAGTAATAATTTTTACTAAGACCCAGTTGTCATCATTTAATGATTCTGATTGGTATTTCCACATAATAATCACTCAATAAATGGTGATGAATATAGTGACGATGATGATGATAATGATGATGATGATGATACAGCAAAATGTACAATTTAGATTTCAGTGGTTAGTGCTGTGGTAATAGGCTAAGCCTCCACCCACGATGCCAGCATCCCATATAGGCACCATTTTGCATCCCAGCTACTCCTCTTCCTAACTAGCTCTCTGCTTGCGGCCTGTGAAAGCAGTGGAAGATGGGCCAAGTGCTTGGGCCCTGGCACCCAAGTGGGAGAACCAGAAGAAGCTCCTGGTTCCTGGCTTCAGATTTCCCCAGCCAGTGGATGCACGACCTTTCTCTCTGTTGCTCCCTTTCTGTATAACTCTGCCTGCCAAATAAATAAATAAAATAAAAAAGAAAGTCCACCACAAAGAAGCATCTCCTAAAAAAAAAAAAAGGCAAAGTTGCAAAGTTTCAAATGAACAAATGAGCTCTATTGCTGATATTATGATGAGAACCATTTTATTTTTATCTGTTACATTATTAAGTCACTCCTAACAAACTCACCCTAGAATATTTTCTATATCCTTAATTGGGTCTGGAGCAATTAAAGAAGAAAATTCAGTTGTTGTTGTGGCATAGTGGGTAAAGCCACTGTCTGTAATCTAGCATCCCAACTGGAGACCAGTTCAACATCCTGATGTTCTGGTTCCAATTCAGATCCCTATTAATGTGCCTGGAAAGAGCAGCAGAGGACGGCCCAAGTTGTTTGGGACCATGTCACCCATGTGGGAGACCAAGATGGAGTTCCATGCTCCTGATTTCAGCCTGGTGCAGCCACATCTGTGTCAGGCATTTTGGAGTGAACCAGTGGATGGAATCTCTGTCTCTCATTCTCTCTCTCTCAATCTCTCTGCAACTGCATTTCAAGTAAAATAAAGAAATCAGGCCGGCGCCACGGCTCAATAGGCTAATCCTCCGCCTGCAGCGCCAGCACCTTGGGTTCTAGTCCCGGTTGCTCCTCTTCCAGTCCAGCTCTCTGCTGTGGCCCAGGAGGTCAGTGGAGGATGGCCCAAGTGCTTGGGCGCTGTACCTGCATTGGAGACCAGGAGAAGCACCTGGCTCCTGGCTTTGGATCAGCGCGGTGCACTGGCCGCAGCGGCCATTGAGGGGTGAACCAACAGAAAGGAAGACCTTTCTCTCTGTCTCTCTCTCTCTCACTGTCCACTCTGCCTGTCAAAAAAAAATAATAAAAGAAAGAAAGAAAGAAAGAAAGAAAGAAAGAAAGAAAGAAAGAAAGAAAGAAAGAAAGAAAGGAAGGAAGGAAGGAAGGAAAGAAGGGAGGAAGAAAAAGGGGAGGAGGAGGGGAAGGAGGAGGAGGAGAAAACACAGGCTACTCTCTAAGGAGCAGACATTCTGATGAGGCTACTAGTGTGTAAAAATAACACCACTGTGCAATAGCAAAAACCTTTACAAAGTACTGCAAGAAGTCACCTCATAGAACACATAATATCATTGATCCATTTGTTCAATCATTTCTGTCTTAAACACATAATTTAATATGTAACAGTTGTGACAAGTAGTGTAACAGCAATAATAAGAAAGTGAAGATAACAGCTAAGGTTAACTTAGCATGTATTTATGTGACACAATCTGTTCATAACGTTTTATGGAGATTAAGTATTCACCACAGCAAACCTTCAAGTAGAGACAAAACTGGGGACCCACAGTGATTTCTTTACTAGTTCACATTAATGCAGTATATTAAAATTTGAAAATGGCAAAGTCAGCACACAAATATGATATTCTTGTTACAAAACTAAAATTCTTAAGTATTGGATAATATGACCATGTTTAGAAAGGAAATAATTGAGGTTTCTTCTACTGTGACCTGAAAATCATGAGTAAACTTTTCTACATGTATCTCCTTTCACTTTCTTTCTCTTTGCATCTTCATTCCATCATAACAAAGGAAGGAATAGATTATCTATCAGGATATTTATAACTACACATTTACCTAGTTGATATTTCTTATAGCACTAAGAATCTGATTGAGTGGGACTGGCACCGCATAGTAGGCTAAGCAACTGCCCACGGTACTGGCAATCCATATGAGCACAGGTTCCTGTCCCAGTTGCTCATCTTTCTATTCATCTCTGCTTATAGCCTGGGAAAGCAGTGGAAAGATGGACCAAGTGCTTGTGTCCCTGCATCCATGTGGGAGACCTGGAAGAAGCACCTGGCTCTAAGACTTATATCAGCCCAATTCCAACCATTGCAGCTAACTGGGGAGTGAACCAGTGGATGGAAGATCTCTCTCTCTCTCTCTCTCTCTCTCTCTCTCTCTCTCTCTCTCCTTTTCTCTATCTGTAACTCTGTCCCTCAAATAAATAATAATAATAAATATTAAAAAATAATCTGAGTGAGTAAGCTAGACTTTCAATATGTATCAGTCTCTCTGACATCAAGGTCAAGTTTTCTTAGAGTTTCAAAATCACCTGGCATAAAGTCAAATTCAAAATGATGTCTTCTGCCTCTGTCTCTGCCATTGTCTCTCTCCCCATTTCTATGCCTATGTTTCTCTGTCTGCCTGACTGCCAAACCGGTGAGGAGACTTCAAAACTCATGGAAAAACAGAGTAAAAGGATAAATTTAGTGCAAAAACTTTTGAAATTCACACTTAGTTTTATAATATGAATTTTCCATGAATTTTTGGAAATCCCTATATGAGATACATATGAGAATAATATACAGTTATAAATGTATCTATGCATTTATGTGTACATATAAGCATACATATGGTAAATATATATACATACACATACATATACATATACATATACATATACATATAAATATATATATGGATGTTCTAAAATGTTCCTGGAAAAATTAAATTAAAAAGATTAGTTTATTTTGGTGCAAAAATATTTTAAATTCCATGCCCAGTTTTCATATGATATGCATTTTCTATGAACTTTTTAAAGATCTCTTGTATTTTTTATAATTTTTTGCACCAAAATAAACTTATCTTTCAATGTCCTTTCAACAAACCTTTTGAAATATTCTTGTAGGTGTACAAACAAATATGAACATTTAAGTGCACACATACACATAATATATCTATATAATTAAGATGTTTGTACTTATTAAAATAGTATAGGAAAATTATATTTATACATGAATTATATCTTATAAAACTACTATCATTAATATCAAAGTGATTAACAGCACAAAACAGGCAAAGTTTTTTCCCTAAACTCTAAAAAGCATCATCTTCCTCTGAATAGTAATGCATTCTTTTCTTACCCTGAAGTTTATTTTTATCACGACATGTAATTGCTTTATAGTTACTCACTTTTGACAGAAAAGAATCTATTGAATTCAGTGTTTTTTCCAAGATGTGCATGCATTACCCTTTATCTTGTTCTCTTTCCACCTGTGTTTTGGTTATCCCATATCTCAGATTTATAGTATAAAGTTAGATTTATGCACAGAACCCCTTCAACAGTGCTCACAGTTAGACACATTTACACCTACTTTGGCTCTATGGAGATGAAAGGATACTTTTTCCTATACCCACTGGCTGGCACTCTGACATTCTAAACAGATGGAGAGCACTGAGCATTTTCATTATTCTAAATTGCCTATTAGCCAATGACTACTAGTGCATTACCCAAAGTGCTTCAAAGAGAACCTAGGAAGGCACAAAGTTTCCTACCTATTTATATATGTGTGATTACAGATGTCAAAATGGGCGATGGTTTGAGTCCCATCCAGCTCTCTGCTATGGCCTGAGAAAGCAGTGGAAGATGGCCCAAGTACTTGGGAACCTGCACCCACGGGGGGGGACCCGGAAGAAGCTCCTGGCTCCTGGCTTTGGTTCGGCCCAGCTCCAACTGTTGCAGCAGTTTGGGGAGTGAATCTGCAGATAGAAGATCTCTCTCTCTCTCTCTTTCTCTATCTCTCTCTTTCTTTTTCTTTGCTTCTGCTTCTCTGCATCTTTACCTTTGAAATAAATAAACAAATAAGTCTTAAAAAAACACAGCAGTATTCTGAGTTCACAATTGGAGTGTGCTATGAGAAATTTTGTTTGTAAATGCCCAAGTTTCTAATACAGATAATCTAAGAAACTCAATCTGATCAAGATGGGACGTGGGCAAGAAAGGTGTTATGGAAGATATTAATGCTAACGTAATCCGTAATGAAAAATGATAACTAGTCTGGCAGAAAAAGTTGTAGGGAAGAAATTTCAGACACAGGAAAAAGAATTTGCAAAATAGATTAGCCAATGTTTAGTTTTAAAATATTGGGTATAACCTTATAAGATAGGAAATAGAATCCAGCATCAGCCTCTAAGATATATACATTTATTTATTTCTTAGTGTTTTATTCAAAACTATGAATGGACATCAAATTAGCTTGGTCTTTCTTATGCAAGTCATCTAATAGTAGGAGAATTCTGACATGAGAAGGAGGTTTTTGGAATCGTCTACATTTTGTTTTACAGCAAACATATAACTGTTTAAAAATGTTAAATAAAAGGAGGTATAGATGACCTACAGTGGTTCAATATTAAAGCAATTAAAAGCTTATCTGTTGGGGAAAATACTACTTTTTGCTGTGAATATCAATTCCCATCCAAATAGAATGATTCTGTCCAGCATGAAACAGTAAGATGTTTTCTGTTTCCTGATTCTTCCTCACTTTGGGACTTAGAGAAAAACTATGGGGGTATTTGCAATGGTCTATCTGTCTCTATCCTTTTCTAGGTCTGAATGACAAGTCAAGCAGAGAAATTGAATTTTTCACTTCTCTAAACACTTTTGGCCCTTAGGAACGCTGGAAAAGGTCAAGAATTTTGCAGTATGTTCCTCCCTAGGCTACAGGATCAAAGCTTCTTTTTTAAAAGGTTGCTGCAGGCCCAATGAGACAGTCAGTCGTGACGGAGAATATAAACAACAGTTTGTGTCTTTCGTGGCAGTGCATGCTACTCTTGGGGGGTTGACTGTGAAGACAATTTCTCCAGAGAAATGTGTTGCTCTCATTAGGGAAACAATAGGAACAGAAAACAGACACATGGGCAGTATGTGGGTAAAGATTTGTGTTTTGCATTCCATATCCCCATTTTTTCTTTTACTTTGCTCTCTTATTTCCCTTTTTTCTGTCTTTTTTTTCTATTGGTCCTTTCCACCAGTTGCCTTCATAGTTTTTCTTAAATTTTAGATCAATCTCACTTATAAATTTTCTCATTGTATTGTGCTTACTGTTGTTATAGACATTCTTCAAACTGGCTCACTCACGTGGGGTATTCCTGTCCGTGTGCAGTTGCCTCCCCTCTATTGTAAGCTGCAGATACTGACTCGCTTTTAATAAGCACAATAGAGTAGCAATTATCAGATGTCATTCCAAGATGAAATTACATAAAGCAGACATATTTCATCTTGCTAGTCTTTTTGTTATCAGTTTGGAGCCATCTCTCTGCCTATGAAGAGGCTCAAAAGGCAAGAGATTCATTTTCTTTTTTAACCAACAGCCATGAGAGTGTCCTTAGATGAGGGTCCTTCCCCAGTAGAATCTCATATTGACAGAAACCTTGTTTGGTATTTTTTTACGGCACTGGAAGAGACCTTGTGCCAGAAAATCTTAAGTAAACCGCCTTTGATTCCTGACTTACTAGACACTGTGAGATAATGGTTATTGTGTTAGGTCACTATGTTTTGAGACATTATGCTTTACAACAATAGATAATTAATGCAATTCATATCCTTCAACATCCCCCATATTTATTGAATCTTTTTGGAACCTCTTTTGTTCCCTGTTTAGTCTCTATCTAAGTTCCAAGCTGCCCAGATTTCAAGTTTGTCCATGACACAGAAAATTAAAAGAATCAGAATGGTTTATTATTAGTAACTTTCAAACTAAATTAGATGTCTGCAAACATACCCTGCATATTGGACAGGTCAGCTTTTCTGGCCTTCCTTTAATTATACTATTTGTTAAATATACATCCATTTGTCACTTTGGAAAACTATTTAATGGGTACCTACTACCTTTAATATATTGTTTCAGGTGCCATATATAACAGGGCAAGGATATACATTTCCTGTCATCAAAAATATTTTGAATAAAATTTTAAAAGTAGTAAATGAGGCATTTTATGTTTTAGGAGGGAGAGAATACCTTCTACCTGGAAGATCAGGTAAGGCTCTCTAAGGGAACATATTGTGCTGAACTTTGAAGACTGTGCTTGATTTGTATATGCCCATTCCAAATTTTGTTCACTTCTCTCCATTTGAGAGTCCATCTGTCTTACACTGTGTCTATAATCAACTCCTACATAATATGCAAAGACTTAAACATGATAGAAAAGATTCCCTTTGGATGTCTGCATCACACGTTGGAGTGCTTGTTCTGAGCCCCAGCTCCTCTGTTTTCAATCAATCGAGTTCCATGTTAATGTATCTCTCTCTCTCTCTCTCTCATTCTTTCTGCCTTTTTTTTTTTTTTGACAGGCGGAGTGGACAGTGAGAGAGAGAGAGAGAGAGACAGAGAGACAGAGACAGAGAGAAAGGTCTTCCTTTTTCTGTTGGTTCACCCTCCAATGGCCGCTGCGGCCGGCGTGCTGCAGCCAGCGCACCGCGCTGATCCAAAGCCAGGAGCCAGGTGCTTTTCCTGGTCTCTCATGTGGGTGCAGAGCCCAAGGACTTGGGCCATCCTCCACTGCACTCCCTGGCCACAGCAGAGAGCTGGACTGGAAGAGGAGCAACCAGGACAGAATCCAGCGCTCTGACCAGGACTAGAATCCGGTGTGCTGGCGCGGCACCGCAGGCGGAGGATTAGCCTATTGAGCCACAGCGCCAGCCACTTTCTGCCTTTCAAATAAAAGAATGCAAGGGCTAGCCTGATTTCTACTTTTATTCTACTTCATCCTCAATATTCTTACTAGCTAGCTATGTTTATCTTTTTAATGCTTCTACATCCTTCAATAGCTATGTATATTCAAGCATTTTATGAATATTTGACTTTTCCCTTAACAGCAAAAACAGTATAAATCATGGTGTAGGGACAATTCACCATGTTCCTGTCTTAGGACTAGTGTATCTAGATAGTAGAGGCCATGATGGTTGGCAATATTTAGAATAATAAAAAATTATTTGTTGTGAGAGAAACAAACCATTGGTGAGACAAAGTGATTTCTTTCTATAGAATGCACAATTGTTTGTTTGCAAAGTGGAATATCAGAGTGATTGTAATTTCCCATTTTTCCTTCCTTTGTGACTTGGAGTAAAACTAAGGCAATATTTGAAATGCCTATTGAACCATCGTACTCAGTCCTGTATCTTCATTTCAGTTTAAAATGCATGTTTCTTTGAAAAATTAGAGGGCCAGCATTGTGGCATACAGGGTAAAACCACTGCCTGAGACGCCATCATTCCATAGGGGCACCGGTTTTTATTCTAATAGATCTACTCTGACCCACCTCCCTGTTAATATGCCTGGGAAAGCAGCCAAAGATGGCTTGAATGTTTGGCCCCTCATTCACATAGAAGACCCAGAAGAAGTTCCAGGATCCTGGCTTTGGCCTGGCCTAGCCCCAGTCATTGCAGCCATTTGACGAATGAACAGTAGACGGAAGATCTCTCTCTCTCTCTCTCTCTCTCTGTATCTTCCTCTCTTGCTATAACTTTATCTTTCATATCAATAAATAATCTCAAAAAAATTTAAAGAGCTATGTATAGCACTCTGGAGTTATTCTCTCTTTTTTTTTCAAAAATAAATATATTTCTTCAGATTAGAAAAAGGTATATCATAGCAGATTTTTTATTTTGTTCTTCCAAATTGTACTATGTGAGATACACAAGAGATAAGTAGTTAAATTTGAGCTATGCCATTGCCATCTATATTTTTTTTATGGGACCTTCCTCAAATTCCCTAAAAGATGTTCAAATTTTTAATATTAAATTTGGAACCCAAAGAATTCAAAACAATAGTAATGATGACACAATAATTTGCATCCCAGAATATTTATCATAAAAAAAATCCTTAAATTAAAGGAATGTTTTGGAAAGAACATACAAGATAAACAGCACAAATATGGTGCTGTATATTGCAGTAGATCAACCCAATGGATTTTTAGCCAGCCATTAAAATGATGACTAGTAAAACATAAATGTAAGTGCGGAAATGTTTAGAATGTGACATTAATAAAAAGAGAATACTAAGTTACATGTAAATCATAATTATAACTATAATTTATATTTACTTATGAAAGAAAATAAAAAATAACAGAAAATAAAACAGCTGCTATGTTAGAATACACATCCTTTAAATTTTAATATGGGTTTTCTTGACACTGAATTTAGGGTCTGATCATTTATTTGGTGGAATGAAAGGGCATCTTATCCATGGTAGAATGTTTAGTCATATCCTTGGCATCTACCTAGTAGATGCCAGCAGCATTTTCCTGGTTGAAACAAACAAAAATGGTTTTAGACCTTGTGAAATGTCCTGGGAGGAAAGAGGACACACACAGTTACTTCCAGGTGTAAACCACTGTTTTAATGAAGGGTTTATCATTATTTTCTTTTGTTTTTAGAAGATAGAACATGCATAAATAAAAATGATTTAAAAAATCTTTGCCCTTGACCTGGCATTCACTTCAGCAACTTACCTAGAGAATAGTTGATATCAGCAATGTTCTGGTTTTAACAGACAAGGGAGCAAAGCATTAATGCATGTTGACCTGCTTGGGGATGTCAGCAAACCCCTCCAATCCTCTGAGTACTGGAAATTGGGGAAGAGAAATCAGTGCACGTTATATAAGAATATCTTCTACTGACAGTGCAGAGTATTTTTATCCTAGTGGAATTTGCCTCTGGGCTCTGAAGCCCTCTGTCAGGGAGTAAAGAAAACTAATTGCAGTGAAATATCTTTTCAGGCAACCTGCCCATCACCAAACTCTATATGTAGGGGAAATACACATTTCCTTTAAAGATGTTTCAATGGAAGTCAAACCCCAGAGGAGTCTTTTCAGTGCCAGGGAAACTTCTACACAGTATAGGACTTTAGTTCAATTGAGGAAATGCAAAAATTTCAATAAACCATTAAAAATTTCTCTAAGATTTCAAGAACCCATATTACCCAATCACCTGTCTTGACCTCTTATTTTATATTCAGGGAAACTTGAATCTAGAGGAGCTAAGTCACATACCAGTTCAACACACCTAATTGGGTGCACAGCACACTATTAAGCCACGTATATCTAAACTTTCTTAACCTTCAAGCAAACTTTGTCTTTAGTATTTTCTATTTCTATAATTGTTTATCATTGGAAAATCATCTATTTCTAGGTGAGTAATGTCTTCCACTGTTTGGAATATGGGTTGATCTTAAAATAGGATATCAAATTCAAGCACTTACTGAATAAACATTTGTTGAGTACTGCGTGCCAAATGCTGTGTCACAGAGTGCGTTTGCAAGATTAGAATACCAATGTTTTATACTTTTTCTGCTGTTTTTTTTAGATCTGCACATTATGCCACTCACACAAAGAACATTCAATCAATGCAGACTGGTTATCTGTACAGTTTGGCACACATTCCTATGGACTTACTGTGAAGGGTAAAGCTGAAAACTTGTCATGGGACTCCAATCCCATTAGGCTGGGTGATACTAATGTTATCTTTCATGTTAAAGTCATGATATTAAGTGTTCACTTACTTAGAGGAGTCACTGTACATTTACTCCCCCTGTAGGACCTCTGTCCTTAATGACTTGTACTATGAGAATTCACTGTAAACCTTGTTTTCAAACAGTACTTCATACTTTGTGTGCGTGTGTGGGTGCAAATTATTGAAATTTTTACTTAGTATAGAGTTGGTCTTCTGTACATAGTTAATTAAAAACAAATCTTAAAGAGGAGGTGGGACAGGAGTGGGGAGTGGATATGGGGGTAAGAACCACTATATTCCTAAAGTTGTACCTATAAAAATTGTATTCATTAAATAAAAGTTTTCTTAAAAATAGAATAGCATTAACTTCAATCTCTATTCTTGAGACCCTACTTCCATATTCCTGGGAACAACTCCTGC